CATAATTACACCACGAGGCCAGGAAGCATTTTGCAAGGCTAAATTTATCCCGTTTTCCTCGATGCCATCAGATGAGTTGCTTGGATGGGAAAAGCTCGTGTGCTTTTTTCTCTCCCGAACTCATTACATCGCACCAGTCAAAAACAATGGCCCTCACATGGGTGGAACCATGTGGGCAGATGGATGGCGGAAATGCTCGAAGGCATGCGAGGCGTTCGGCCGTTATTGCTCTGTTACTCGGTTGGTTGCCATGATGCGAAAGTCAAACTACGTTGCCGAGGATGAAGCTGTTGCCGTTAGAGAGGCCAACAACTGGATATCTGTTCACCTTCAAGAACTGGCTCCTGGAGTGTTTGAAGATTACCGAGCAACTCTCATTAAAAATAATTTACCCTCAATGGCCCACATGGAATGGCCTCCTTCGTCGTATCACGCTCTCGACTTTGCTTCTTTTCTCACATTTACGATGTACGATTTTTTCAACGAGACCCATTTTGATTCGGATGCAAACAATTGGACCCTTGTTTGCTGGATACCGATCTTGAATCCTCGGACCTCGGACAAAGATGATCCCATCTTGGCAGACGATGGATTTGATATGATAGGTGGACAATTCACCTTTCGTGATTTCCAGGTGTACTTGGACTTGAACAAAGTCATTGGTGTGACCATGTGTGTGTTCCGGTCCAAAGATCACCATCATCAGACATTGGCTGGATCCTCACGTCCGACAAGTATACTCGAATTGGCTTTTCCTGTCAAATGTCTGAAGCCATGTCAAATGCTGTTGTTGCTTACATCAATGGTACAGCAACTGGCGACTGTATAGCTGGTCAAAAGAAACAAATAGACAATGCCGAAAAAAGCATTGTGAATCAAGACCAAAAAAAAGCAGAGAAACAGAGAGAGAGGGAGAAGTCTAAATGAATTATAACTTTCTCACAGCTATCATTTCATACTACAGCTATTATTTCATACTACAGCTATTATTGATCAGCTCTTTAAACCAAGTTTGTTTTCAAATCCGTTGTTGAGAACACGATTTATGCTTACCAGAAAAATTACATTTTCCTCAGAATTGTTATTGCTTTATCTCCTCAGCTACCAATTAATATTCTTACTATTGTCCTGTTATTCAAGATCATTTTATTTTTGAGTTGAAATTTACAGCACAGCTAGGTGCCCAAAAACAATTGCCGAACAGGATTTGGGGGTAGTGATACTGTATATGAGGCATGTGAGTTCAGGTTCGCGCAGTCAGAGATGACCGGATTTGCCAACATTTCCGAAAATATCAACATAAACCACCATCTTAGCATAACTGACGATTGCTCATCATTCGAACCCATCAAAAATGACAGCCAGAAAGCAAAAATCTAGTCTCCACCAATTCCACAAAGGATCACGTATGCCACGGATCGAAACGAGATCCCAGAAGGATTACCGGAACAAGATGCGCAAACACACGGCAGCTGAAGTATCAGATATAACTACCCCTAGTGTTCCTGTGCCGCTGACTGAACTGATACCTGAAGATGATTACCTTCACAACACCGACCAAGAAACCTCACATCACGATCACCAAGAAACCTCACATCACGATCAAGACCAGGATGCTTGGTATGACATTCCAGACGAGATGAGACCGGAAGACGCCGAATCCCTCAGACAAATTCGATCACACCATCAAGCACTCATACAGCAGCAAAAATTGAGGAATTGGTCAGATCTTATGATATCGATGTTCCCAGCCTACCTCCATTTGAAAAAGAAAACGCAAAACTGGTCCCAGATTGGCTGTCTTGAAGACTTTTCAAAGGACCTGTGTAAATGCACTCCAGGACAGCAGAATTGGAGAGAGGTTGACCTCATTGATCTCATGGGTGAGTTGTTTCATTGAACATATGCTATTCAGATTGAGCACTTATATTCATTTTGTCTGACAGGTCAAAAGCGAACCAAAATGGCATTTTGCTCCTGCCTTCCCGACCCAATAAACATGTTGGCTAACGGTTATATTGCAAGCACACCCCTTTTCCCTCAGACTGCTTTTTCTCTACGTCTGCTTCACTTTTATGATCTCTTGTGGAATATATGCAACACCCATTTGACCTCATTTACTGAAGTCATACGGAGGTGGAACGAAACAATTTCAATCAGGCTGTGTGTCAAGGAGAAAAAGAAGGTATAGTGGCAAGAACTCATGTTTTCCTCAGTGGTGATTGTTCTGACTTTCACATAGCCCAGGGATCTTCGGAGTTGTTTTTCAGGTTCAGTCGATGCCTACCGACACCTGAAGCGGTTAGAACAAGATTTAATTCAGACCACAACCGCCTGCTCTTCACAAGACATTCTAGCCCAACGGTCATGTCCAGCTTGTTTTGGTGTTTCGCTGCCGGTCGATCATGAATCACAACCCTCAGACACTAGTCAAATATTCCTCTGCCTCGATGGAAATTTTCAACACCGACATCATGAGAAGGCCTCCAAAAATCACCTGCCCCTTCATACTCCCCATCTGTTTGTCACTCCAGAAGAAATCCAAGCCTCTAACGACCAAATATTAACCCACGAAAAAGCTCAAAAAAAGACTGAGAAAGCGGTATGTCTCTTATGTACTACCCTTCTCTGTTCAGTCAACTCATATTTCTTCTGTAATTCATCAGAAAGACAGATGTACAGAGCAGCACAAGGCTGCAGATGACCGACGAAACGCCAGCACTTGGAAAGGTTGTGATGACACTGGATTGTTCGGATGTTGCTGCCGACACGATTCAGTAATCTATTTCTGTAATATACACAAATCGGGAGAAGGACGTGGCCTACCTATGTCAATCTTGAAGCGGCTCCTTGGCGAACTAAATCCCAATATTCAATTAGGTGTTCTTTACGATATTGGCTGCACCCTGGGAAAATTTTTTGAATCCCGGAATTTACTTACCAAACATCTTCCAAGGATGAAATTTGCTACAGCAGTATTTCATTCCTATGTCCATGACTGGGCATGTCAACTCAAGTTCAATCCAAGATACAACAAGGGATGGGGCTTAACAGACGGTGAGGGGTTGGAGCGTCTGTGGTCCTATCTTTCCCCACTGGTGGGCCCTCAAAGGTATGCGACTCGAAATTGTCGGCTTGGTGGAATCAATCATCGAAGTGTATTCCACAACATGCTTGGAATGGAGAAGCTGTGTATGTTGTTTTCACTTATTTCTAATTATGCATTTGGGTTTCTTTACTGATTTTTTTTCTTAGTATTAACTCTGAAGAGGAAGACACTCCATGCAATCACTCATCAAAAAGATGCTCGGACAAATCTGGACAAGCTTCTGAGTCAGCCAAACCCACATCAACGTGGCACTTGCTTCACCGAGGATTTTTTTTGGGCACAATGGGAAGCTCAGCGTGCTTTCCATGCCAATCTAAATGAGGAGGAGGTAGCCCACAAAGAGGAGCTAGCACAATTCTTTGAGCGAGGTGAAACCATCAAAACCCTTGTGTATGTGACCATATGTTTCTTTCTTGTTACATGTTTTCAAGCTAACTTCTTTCCCTCTGCA